GGACGCGTCCAGGGAGAGGGCTGGGAGCAGCGGCCGGTGCACAAGAGCCTGTCCACACCCAGCGACCGGGCCGTTGACTTCAAGGCGGCTGCAGTGCTGGTTCCTCAAAGCATGCATGGAGCTCAGCCAAGAGGCCAGAGATGGGTTCCTTGCCATGGCAGCTCTGCGTTCCCTGGGTTATGGAGGTACCGCAGAGGCAAGGCCATGACCTTCTCAGGACTGGGAGCAACGCTCCTGGGGTTTGGCTCCACCAGGAGCCGGACTAGTGAACCTGTACGCACAGGGACTCCTCCAGCACCCAACCTGCTGTGCCAGCCTCACGCCTGTTGTCTGGATGTGTTCCCAATAGCTGCGGTGTTCAGCTTTCTGGCTTTGCTAGGAGGCAGCTGCCCTGCACATCATCCGTGGCATTCATCCTGCCCACGTCCCAGCCCCTCCAGTTGCCTGGGGCCCATCAGCTGGTAGGGCTTGTCATGGTGCAAGGAGTGGAGTGAGCAGCAGGTATGAATGTACATCAGGAGCAAGGGCGATGGGTGAGAGCTGAGTGCATCTTCAGAGGCCTGTCCCCACCACCTGCCTCCCAGCCACCCCTGGTCCATCCTGAGAGGGTGGTGGGACCCAGTGGCAATGGCCCACACAGTGAATTATTCCTGCTGTGACCCCAAGGGCCAACAATTGCTCCCCAAGAACTGCTCAGCATGCAAAAGCTCAGCCGGCAGCTGGGCACCGGCAACACGGGAGGGTTGGGGATGCTCTTCTTAGGGAAGAGTGGGAACTTGGGCTGTTGATGCCCCAAAGCAGGTAAATAACTGCCTGTTCCAGCTACGTGGGTGTGCTGAGACGGCAAGTGCCAAGGGAACATGTGGATGCACTGGGTGAGTGAGCCCAACATGGGGCAAGAAGCGAGCTGGCGGTACCCCCCGGTACTGTTAGCAAGGCTCAGCAAAGGCCGTTCTGCTCTGTACCTATCCCACCAGATGAGCATGAGATTTTTAAAAGGTTTTTGTATAGTTTTGCATTTCTGGTATGCCTTATTCTGGTTTTGATTTCTGATATTGGGCCATACTAAATCTCTAGCTGGGTCAGTGTTTTCTGTAGCCATGGGCACCACAAATGACTCAAGACTTAATATCTTATTTGCAAGAATATTGTTTTAATGTGAAAATATATGCAGAGTATTTTGTAATGTTCAATAAATCAGAGTTGGAGCAGGCGTCGTGGTCTGGTGTCTCTGCTGTCTGGAAACCTCCACAGATCCTGGTTCCTGCAGCTCCTGGTTTGGTTCTCCCTCGCAGGCATAGCGTCCCCGTGCCTCTCTGCTCTTCTCCACCCGAGGCCACAGCCCCCCCTCTCAGACTCGATGTGCCTAACTGGATTTCCTAGTTTCGATAATGTTTGTGGAAAATGTGAAATTCTTTCCGAACAGAAGCTTGCCTGCAGCCGTCATTAGACCATGCCTCGGGGAGCAGCCAGCAAGAGGCCAGCAGGCAGCTGGGCCCTTGCTGCCCGGTGTCGTGGCTGCCTGCACAGCAGCAGAGTGCTGGGAGCCCAGATCTTCCCATGTCCATGCTTCCTCTCTCTTTGCCAAAAATATGGTTCACATGGGTCTGTTTCAGAGTATTCGGGATCACAGGAACCTCCCTGCATCGGTGTGTGCTGGCTTTGCTCTTCCCTTGATCTGCTAGCTCCACTTCTAAAGGAGCGTACATGTGGTTTACTTGATTCACAAGATCGATGTTTGGCTTGTATTCAACCTGGCATCTACCGTCACCCCCAGGTCCTTTTTGGCAGGGTCCCGATACAGCTCCTAGCCCCAAGAGCGTTGCACTGGTCCCTCTGGAAGCTCTTGCTCATCCTGACGTTTCCCATCTGCATCGCATCCCACCAACCAGAGATGCTGGCTGAGCCGTGCTCTGCGTGCCGGACCTCAGTGCCAGCGTTTCCTGCAGACACGATCGCCTTGGCAGTGCACCAGGTTGTGCGGGTCAGGTTGTTTTCCTGGAAGCGGTGGGTCTGCGGCATTCGGGTCCTCAGAGGAGGAAAAGCAGACGTCTCGGCTTTGGGAAACGCTGGGGATGGTTGCTGCTGTCTCACACGGTTACCTGAGCCTAGCAGCTAATGTGTGTGCAGGCTCTCCATGCCGCCAGCCAGCATGGTGAGCTTCACGGTTACCTGAGCCTAGCAGCTAATGTGTGTGCAGGCTCTCCATGCCGCCAGCCAGCAGCTGGTGAGCTTGGAGCCCCCTCTTCCCACCCTTGACCCCAACCATGTTGTGACCAGGGATGGTGGCTCCTACTACACCCTTCCCCACAGGGTTTTAACAGCTTTTATTAGTTTTTCTTCTCACACTCCACTCTGTATTTCACTTTACAGGGAGAGCTAGCAGGCAGCGTCCTTCCTGCACAGGACTGCTCCGACCCTTCCAGCGTAGCACAGAGCCATCTCTTTCAGCCTAAAAATACTAAAGCACTTCAGTGGAAAAACACAAGAACCAGGCCAAACCATGAACACGTGCCCAAACCTCTGCTTCTCCAGGAGAGAGTAAGGCATAACCAAAGGAGCTGCTTGTCAGACTGTAACCCAGAACGTACAACCCTCTGTTATTATAAGCAACCCCATCCCGGAGCTGCCTGACTATCGCAGACCCATTATTTTGCACGCAGGCTTCTCCTTAGAGCCTGCCATTAGATCTGCACATTTTTTCCACAGTGATTTACTTTCTCCAATGCTCAGCTCCTCCAGTTTCTCCGTGGCACCAGAAGTTGTGAAGTCAGCAGAGGATGTAAGGCAGCTCTGGTAACAGGGGCATCAGCCCCTGGATGGAAGAGCCAAGCTGCGGGCGATGGATTGGTGTTGGCCATCTCCTGAGTCAGCTAAGCAGCAGCATTGCACAGTCGTCTTAAAATCACCGCCTTGCCCTTGCACAATGCATGTTGGAGCATCACGTAAATTTTAGGCTGGAAGGGGCTCGGGAGGTCTGTGGTCCAACCTTGGCTCCATGCAGGGCTGGTGGCAAAGCTACAGCAAGTAGCTCAGAGCCCTGTCTAGTTGGGCTTGGAAAGTCCCCGAGGATGAAGATGTCACCCTGTCCCAGAGCCACACCACAGCCACACCACTCTTCGGCAGAATGATTTTCTCCTTATGCCCAGCAAGAATTTCCCCTGGTGCAGCTTGTCCCCGTTGCCTCTTGTCCTTCCAGGTGTGCCTCTGAGAAGAGTTGGGCTCTGGTTTCTCTGTGCCCCCCTGTAGGTAGCTCCCCTCCTTGCTTTGTCTTCCTAAAGCTGGTTCTCTCTGAGAGAGATAAATATATCGAGAGAGAGGGAGAGAGAGAGAGAGATAGATCTTGTCTGGGGAGCCCCAAATTGGAGCTAGTACCCACTTGTGTCTCACAGGTACCAAGTCAAGAGGAATAATCATTTCCTTAAACCTGCCAGCTTCACGTTCTCCATTGCAGCAAGGGTGCTGTTGACTCATGGGCAACCCTGCATGATTTTTCATTCTGCTCTATTTCTGGAGCACTTCTGACGCCCTTGTGTGATGTTTTCACGATGGCCTGTACAGGCACAAACGGTGGGAAGCTAGTGAATGGGAGCCCAGCTTCTCACCTCCCACTTGGCCCCAGCAAGCACAAAGCGTGGCAGAGGCTTTGGCCACACTCACGTTTTCACAGAGAACAGCCGGAAGGCAAATGCAGGAGAATTCAGGAGTTCAGTCTGATCGTACCTGGGTACACGCATTTTGGAGACACATCAGTCCGTTCTTTGCTCCTTCCTGCTCCTGTCTGTTTGTCCAGGCATTCGTCTCACCTGGATATGATCAGACTGAACACCTCTCCTGAATTCTCCTGTGTTTGCCTTCCTGCTCTTCACACGTGAAGCAGCCATTCCTGCTCCCTGCTTTCACTGGAAGCCTCCGCTGCCTATTTGTGGAGGGAACGATTCATTTTCACTCCGGAATTACCTCCGGAGGGCTGGATGCCAGCCCTGGTCCCGGTCTGCCCCATTGCACTGGCTGGTGAAGTTGTGCAGAAGTTGCTCGGCTGATGGGATGCGAGCTGGCCGGGGCCGTGCAGCGAGTGGCTGGTGACGGAGCCGGGATCAGTCGGCAGCTGGGGCGGATAATGAGGAACAGATTTGCGCTGGGCAGCGGTTCCCATGCTGCGTTCCAGGGCAGAGCGGCCAGGATGGGAGAGCCTTTGTGCTCCGTGCTGCACCTCTCTGGCGCATGTCGAGCCAGCCCCTCGGCTCGCCCGTGTCTCCTCACTGTCTGCTGGCGGTGAGCGTCCCCGGGCTCCCCATAGAGCTGGGGACCCTCTCCAGTGGCTGTGCCACCCGCCAGGCTGCAGGGCTGGCC